TCCGTTATATTATCTCGTAAAAGATTCAGCTGGGAAACTTCCTTTCTCTTTCTCCTTTTTCTTCCAAAGTATAATGCATCAAAAGAGTCCATGTTGTCCACTGGAATATAATTCAATTTGACTTATTTCCACTTTATCATTCTTTTATGTGTGAGATTGTGTTCTATAAATGTAAAACAATATATAGGGTCCTAAGACTCCAGTATTGAATCAGGGTGACACCAAACATTAACCATTATCAGAAATTTTTCTACTTCGTTCTTAGCATTATTTCCAGTACTCTAAACATCCTAAAATTCAACTGCCTTGAAAAAACAATAATGAGCAACATAATTCATTTTCTTTTTATGTTAATGTGTTGGTGTGAAATATACAATCAGTTTTATGCATTTCAAACAAGCAATTTTACTTTAATCTATTGAATTTGATCTGTAGCTTTTCAGGTGTAATTTTAGATAGACAAAGAAAATTTATATTTTAACTTAATTTTCACTCATGGTACTCACCTAGTGTACCATTAGGGGTCTACTTTATGCTTTAAACATTACGGTATCTGAATTATGGATCAGAGGGCTCTATTAAAGGCCATTCAAAAATAGGGTCTTTTCTCAATATTTTGATTTGATATTCATTTTATGGTAATATTTTATGTGAAAATATCACTACTAATGTGTTTGCATATTTACTTTGGGGTATTGTTTCTTAATTCATTTATTCAATACTGTGCATTGAGCTCTTGGGATACAGTGATAAGTTTCAAAGTTAAAAAAATATGTTGCCTAAGCTTTAAAATATTAAAATACACTATATATTTATGTAATAAGTATATATAAATATAATGGGTGTATATATATTTTTTTTCAGTCATTTATTTCATCTGGATAACATATTCGGGGGTTTTTTTCAGAACTTGTAAAATTTCTATAAAGGATACAATGGATTGGGAAAAGTTTTGAAGTTCTTTAGCTTTTCATTTTTTTTAAGAACATCACAAATTACTATATAGTAAATTGTTATAAAGTGGAAAACAATGCAAATGAATCTGAAGACAAATTTTTAATTTATAATCATTAGGTAGAAATAATCTTGATAATAATTTAAAAATAATGAAATAAAGTTCACAGAAAAGTATCTGGTTCTTTCATTTATAATTAAGATAATTTTTAAATTTTTCTTAACTATCCTCTTTCTCTTCTTTGGTACACACTGTTTTCCTAGATTTTGTAGATTTCATCTTGTTTTCTTTCCTCTGTAATCTGTCAATGTGGGAATTCTCCCTTCAGACATGACTGTGGGTGGTCCTGAGAGCTGGTCCCCAGTCTCCTGATCAGTAATTTCGTTTTCAGCTTTATTTTGTATTGGAGAGGAAAAATGAGTGAAAAGCTGTATATACTCCGATACGAGGTCTTCAGTGGAAAAACTATGAATTTAGTCTTGTTGCCAGCACAGCATTGGGGGCTGGGTGGGAAGAGGAAGAGGAGAGGGATCTGCTGGAAAAAATGAAAATGTAGCCCCTTGGGACCTTCCATCAAGTGTGGCCACTGTACAACCTGCCTTATTGCTTAGTTTCTGTTTCCATTGAAAAGTTCAAACAAGAGTAGTTCCTATTTGATTTTTTTCCCCAATGGAAAATATTATTTACTAGCTAAGTAGTCCAAAGAGAATGAAAAGCCTGGATAGGAAAGACGGTAGGGGAACTGAGTAAGGGAAGTTGAATAGAAAAGAGGAGAAAGGAAATATCCAAATGACTTTTAAAAACAACAACAACATAAAAATACCTTGGGCTCCAGGCAAAAGGGATGGTGATATTTTGCTAAGCCCACTGCTTTCTCTCTCCCCTGTTTCTGGCCTACATTGCCTGTCATCCTGACTATTTTTTTAAAAATATATTTTATTGATTATTTACAGAGAGAAAGGGAGAGGGATAGAGAGTTAGAAACATTGATGAGAGAGAAACATCGATCAGCTCCCTCCTGCACACTCCCTACTGGGGATGTGCCTGCAACCAAGGTACATGCCCTTGACTGGAATCGAACCCGGGACCCTTCATTCCGCAGGCCGATGCTCTATCCACTGAGCCAAACCAGTTAGGGCTGTCATCCTGACTATTGCCCTCTTACCTCCACACTATACTCTTACCATTCTGTCAATACATTGCTCCCCTATACAGAAGGCTTCGGTAGCTACCCCCTGAATTCCTGAAAACACCAATTCCTTAGCTTAGGAAATCAGTGCTGACCGCAATCTAGGTCTGTCTGTCTGACTTGACTCCTCACTCTTTTTTCATGTTCCCTTTCCTCCAACCAGTCGAGGCTATTAACTTTGCCCCAGGTATACCTTCTGACTTCCACATACCAGATTGTCCCTTTGGCCCAGAAATGGACTGTCATCTTTGCCAGCTGAAATCCTACCCAGACTCTGAGACCCAATTGCTTCATGAAGCTCTTCTAATCACATCAGCCTAGAAGCCCTCCTTTCTCTAGACTCCTGTATCATTTTGTACCTCTCCTAATGTCTCTTATTAGTTATTTGCACATGCCTTATTTTCCCTATAAAACCTTAAGCTTCTTGGTCTCTTCCTTGAGCTCTTCCTTATTTTCTATATAGTGTCTAGCATCATGCCCTCCTTATGGTATCTGAGTAAGAAAAATATATTGGATAAATGATGGAAGGAAATCTCATTAGGATCAGCTAGGCTAACACGAAGTTCAAATGTTTATGCCTGGTTTTATAGTTTCTTCTTGCTTGATGTCCGTGGGTATCTGCCTCGTGCCCAAGTCAATGACACCACAGGAAGGAGGACAAGGAAAGCAGGCCTGCTGAATTCCCTTTTGTAGATTTCCCCTCAGGAATGTAATTCCTGTCCTCATAAATTATACACATCTACTTGCCAATGATATTTAGATGCTTTTTAACAGTAGATCAAACATTGCAAATATTCTACTGGTGATGCATGTGGGAAGAAGTGTTATGTTTTTCTCCTACTTAACTTTTCTGTGTGAACTAAATCCAAATGAATCTGAATTTTTGTAATTCAAAGAAAATACTGCGCCAACATTTTGAGAACCACTAGCTGCCAAGTGAAACCTGACAGCATATTCCTTGGTGACATCCAGTCATTAAACGCTGTGTACACAGAGTGAGCAGCTGCCTAAACTGCGCTCATATGCAAATGTGAACACTCCTCAATTAAAATTACATGGTGTACATTACAGTTTCTTTAGAAGCTATGAAATTTTCAAAATTAAATATAGTTGAGCTCGACCTTACGTACCTTGCCTTTTTTTTTTTTTGTCATTTCCAGCTACTAGTCTCTCCAAAGAAAACAACTTTCTTGTTTCTTTTAGTTCTGTGTGTGCCCGAGCTTTTTTCCCAGTCGCTGCTACAAAAACTGAAATGGTTCCAAACATCACTATTGTTTTTTCTTTTTTTCTGTAACTAATATTTAAATATCAACTTTATGGTAGAGTGCATATAAGACCAAATTTTCCCTAAAGGTATTTATTGTCTAGAATGGTGTTTTTCGGTTTGTTTGTTTGTTTGTCTGAATGGTAGGTAGCCTTTTGATGACTGGCAGTTGTGTGGAGGAAGAACTGGAGTGGGGCCATATTAAAAGCTGGGAAATGAGTTAGATTTCTGGGAAATGAGTTAGATTTTTAAAAATGTTTTATTAAGATATATAAAAAACAAACCAAAAAAAAAAGCTCTTAATATTTCACCAAAGACCTTGGGAAAATGTTTTTATGATTAAATGTATGGATTTTATTCTTTTTTTCTTTTTAAATACATTATTTATTATTGATAGTATTACAGATATCTCCCATTTTCCTCCCCTTTACCCCTTCCCTCCCAGCCTTTATCTACCCACACAGGGAAATTTTTTTAATTTGAGTACTTTATAAGTGCTCCTCTTAATGCTAAAACTGAAAAATAATCTTTTCATCTTTTGTTATTATGACAATTCCCGTGCAAATCTTTAATATATTTATTTTAAGGACTGATTATGATAGCTCTTATAGAATGTTTTCAAAGTTTTATTCATTCTGTTAATTGGGAAAATGTTTCATGCACTTAGCCTTTGGTTAACTTTTAAAAATTTATATGTGATATAAAAGAAAATATTAAGTTTGTATATCATGTAAATGTTTTTCCTAAAATGTCCGTTTTATTTTCTTATAGTAAATAATCACAGGGAACATTGTTTATTTTCATATAAACATGTGTCCTAAAGAAACAGTAATTATTACGTTGTTTTGGAATACTTGCTCAGACTGATTTTCTTAGTTGCATTTAGTGGGTGGGAGTGAAAATGGAAAATATTTGATGACCATGAAAGAAATCTAAATATTACCAAAAGCAGCAATACTATATGAATAAATATGAATGTGAATCAGGAGACTCAAATGGTGAAAGTTACAATAAATACATACTAGAAAAAATAAAAGATATTTTCTATACATTCAAAATGTTGAAGGTGTTTCTGATTTGATATATGTGACCTCATAAGGAGAGTGTATTAAATAAACTGCATAATCAAATTGCTATTTTGTTCTTTATCAAAATAAAAAAATACAGAATGGCAATTTGGGTCAAAAATAATGCCACAAACCAAATTTAGCTTTAATTACTATCTAGCCAAAAGAAGGAATAAACTATCAGCCAAGACCAAGGCTCTTTGATCTCACATTTCAACCTCCTTCTCCCCCACATGAATGAAGTGGTCTTTTCTCAAATGTTCAACAGGCCTTTTACCATTTGATCGGACAATTATTTTTAAAAAGGTTTAAAATGTGATCTGGAAAACCACATTGACTCTATGTGGCATATTTGCTATTCTTAGCCTGGTGGAATAAGCTGGAAGTGGATGAATAATGCAGGTTAGAAAGAAAACAGATGCTAAATATTACCAATAGGAAGGTTTTCCAGCAAGGAGACGTTCATTTTAGGACGAGATTTTTGTTGGCACTTTGGCATTATGACGATTATTTTTTTCCCTCCAGCTGTTACACATCTGTATCGAAGGCTGGGGCAATTGGCGTTGGTCAGAGCCCTTCAGCGTGGACCATGCCGGGACTTTTATTAGAACTATTCAGTACAAGGGTCGAACTGCCTCACTCATCATCAAGGTTCAGCAACTCAGTGGAGTGCAAAAACAGGTAAGTTCCCTTGTGTTTATGACCCACACAGCTCTTAGTCGTTGGATGTTGGATGTAATTAATGGAAGGGAAACTTAAAGAAATGGAAATAACAATAAAGAGAATCACAGTGATATGCCTAGTTACACCTACTGCAGCCCTGCACCTGAGCACTTAGTAAGTGCTGTCGATGGTCCCGATGATGATGGAGATGGCTCAGACCCCCTTGTCCTTGTCTTTTACAAGAGCTGCTAACGAGCAGTAAAATTTACTGATTTTCGTTTCACCTCTTCTCCCTGTCACCACCTACCTCTGGTGGAGGTGCTAATGAGCTGTGAAATGGCCAAAAGGCCTTTATTGAGAAAGAAAAAAAAGCGAAGAGTGAAGGGACCCTAGATAATCCCCAGTGGATGACCAGGACTTGGTTCTCATAATGCAGTCATAGTCTGGGAGGAAGCGTTGACGCCCGGGCTGGGTCTCCAGCCTTCTTTCCTAGGAGTCCATGCTCACTGCAGTAAAAACCCACTGCAGTCTAGCTCTTGGCATATAAAACCTCAGCTCTCAGCACATATTTCTACGTATTTTATAAAACTTCCTTTGGGCTGCTTTTGAAGTTCCAAGACTGCAAAGTGGGGGGAAAAGTATCTGACACTTTTTTGTGTTCTTAAGATGTGAAAATGTGGTTTTTAAAAGATGTTTCTCAAGCATGGAGCATATGACAAGAGTAGAAAGAAAAAAAGGAAGTATGAAAATCTGAAAGCTGGCTTCACTGCCCACAGTATAACTGGGCTTGTCATGCGGGTTTGAACATACACTTCTGCATCTTGATTGTAACAGTCTTTCCAGAACGTAGTGAACTGAGGACATGATAGCAGCAGCTCCCAGCCCCGGAAACAGAAAGGGGGAGCCTCCCTATGGAGCAGCAGGGCTACGCCATTGCTGTTTGCCAGGGGTGAGCAGGAAGCAACTGGTGAGGTGAACAGGAGGACCCACACGGTATTCCTGGCCCACACCTAATCAGGTCGCACCTGAATTGCATGTTACTATTGTGGGCAAAAGAAGTGAAATGAGAACTATAACCGAGGCGTCTCAGAAGTGAAGCATAGAGTAGTCTCCCCAGTCACCTGATGGCTACAGTGGAACTGGGTAAAATGAAAGGTACTAAGTATGTGACACAATCTGCTCTTAAATTACAAATTGATGTAAACCTAACAACGTACGCAACTAATAGTAAGTGTGAAGGGAATTTAGAGGTTTCACTAAAGCGGTATGACTTGAGCTGGACGTTGTAACACATGGAGAATGTGGGTGAAGGGAGGGCATTTCAAGTAGACAGGGGACTGCCTAACTAGTGTGAATGTTGAGCTGGAAAGTCATAAGAACAAGCAGCGTCACTGACTCCCATCTGCCCTCAGAACTTTCTTACATGGATGTGCTCTCAACAAATACCTCCCCCTCATGCAGACCGGTTTTCTGACTCTGTCACTCACGATCTTCCAAGAATGCCTATGCACCTCCTCATTCACCAGCGTGCCTGAGAAATGGTCCTCCAGCATCTGTTTGAATACTCCAGACGATGAGAGGTTCATGCTCTCACACAGCAGCCCTTCCCGTTGCTTCTAGCTATTAATGAGGGGTTTTTTTCCTAATTTTTAGTCGAAATCATTGTCATTCAGCCAGTTTTGACCATTCCTCAGAACTTGTGAGGTGGACACAACAGCCACACACCTTGTTGTGAGGACGCCCCTCTGCGCCTTCAAAAGCTGGAGGGAAGCGAGGATGTTTTCCTACTTTCCTTCTCTCTAGGCTAGTGGTTCTCGAGCTGAAGAGTATATCACAATCCTTGGGGACTTAAGATAGATTCCTGGTCACACTCCCACGGGACCAGGTCCAGGAACTCTTGGTGTGATGTGCTCATTTCTAACAAGTTCTCAGTTGGTGATGTTTCTGGTCCGGGGGCCATGCTTTGACCACACAGCTCTGTCTGACCTTCCCCAGTTCATTCACCTCTTGTGCATGAAGTTGCTGGGCCATCTACCAACTAGTGGAATGGCAGGGTCCTTCTATGAAGAAATGGTTTCCGTGGTAGGTCCTGGTGGTTAAGGCAGTTGGCTATGTGCCCTTGCTAGCTGTGTGATCTTGCCAGTTATTTAACCTTTGTGAATCACTGTCCTCATCTGTAAAATGGGGATAGTAATAGTGCCGTCCTCAAGAAGTTAGTGGGAGGATTAAATGAGTTTTTACATGTAAAGTCCTCACAACACGTCTGGCCCACTGTCGTAACCCAGCAAGCTTTCGTTACAATAACAATGATGAAATACTCCTAGGCAGGAGTGGCACCAGTTAGACTTGTTTTGTTTACTCTAAGTCTCTCATTCTTTCATGCATATTACATATTTTCAAGGAGTGACATTAAATTTCAGGGATAAATGAATATATATAATGTTCCGGAGCAGATATGACACACTACAATAGTTCACCACAAATGTTACCTGTTTCTTTTTTCTGATTGTAAAAGATTTCCCATAACTAGTACCTATTAACCATGTGATCTTAGACACATTTCTTAATCTTTCCATGTTTTATATTCCTTTTGTAAAAGAAAGCACCCAGAAAATATTAGTTCACTTTTGTTATTTTTGTATTAACTGTTATAAAATATTTCTAAAACCACAGATAGTCTAATGAAGAAAATAAAAATTACCCATAATTCAACCACCCAAAGATAAATACTATTATTACTTTCATGTATTTTTTCTATGTAGATGCTTTTAAACAACTTGAGATCTGGTTATAATAACAATTTTTCAACTTCTTTTTTTCCACTTAAAACATAATTCTTCTCATGTTATCTAAAATTCCTGAAAATTTTCTTTGAATGGTTGCATATTAATTTACCATATGATACATTGAAACAGCATTTTCTTGTTGTTGGGTTTTTAGATAATTTCCAATTGTCACTATAATAAATACTTATAAATAAATATCTTTGTGTATAAATAGATGTCTAAATTTCTGAGTCTATCCCTAATATAATTTGCTATAAAATTTAATTCCTTGAGCAAAGTATATGAATGTTTTTATGGTACTTGATGCATATTCCCAAACTAAAAACATGTATTTTTATTCTTTAACAAAAATTCATTGTTTTGTCTCACCAAATTCTTGTTAGGGCTACACTAATCTTTTAAATATATGTTTGCCCCAAAACTTCTGCTGATTTTCTTAGTTTTCAAACTAAGCATTTTTTTCTTTATTGATTAAGGTATTACATATGTGTCCTTATCCCCCCATTGCCTCCCCACCCCCCACTCATGCCCTCACCTCCCTGGTGTCTGTGTCCATTGGTTAAGCTTATATGCATGCATGCAAGTCCTTTGGTTGATCTCTCCCCCTTACCCCCACCCTCCCCTACCTTCCCTCTGAAGTTTGACGGTCTGATCGATGCTTCTCTGTCTCTGGATCTGTTTTTGTTCATCAGTTTATGTTGTTCATTATTTTTTTAAAAAAAATATTAATATAAAGAGGGGTTCAAAACGTAACTAACAAAAATAATTTCCATACATTTCAAGTTTAAGGAATTCTTTTAATCATTCTTTGCATTAATGTCAAATACTAGTATACATATTTTAAGACATCTGGTGCCAAATGACATTTCAGAATTTTTCCAAATGTTATTTGTACTGATTAATGTTGGTAATCATCTTCTGTGGGGACTGCCTCTCACACTTTTTTCTGCTTCTACCCTATTTATAATCCATAATCCTAAAAAAAAAAAAAATAGAATCTAGCCACACAGAAAAGTCCTATTGGAGAGCAGTAATGAAGCGGGGCAGCCTTCACCTGTCTAAAGGGACGCGTCATCGTCTCCCAGAGGAGCTGGAAGTCCCTTTCACATCCCCACTGTTCAGTTATATTTTGAATGTTAGCATTTCTTGTAGTCAGGTGAGATTGAGCGCTATGTTAGAGCCATTTAAAAACTTAGCAGGTTGTGAAACGTGGGACACAGAAGCAGCAATTTATTTAACTTGGAAAGAAGCAAATGGCGAGTGGTTAATACTGAACCTGGGTGATACTGAAAGGTTCAGCAGACCACCGTGCCAACCTCAAAGGCACCGCTGCGGGTATTGAACTTGTGAAAGACCTTTCTAGTCAGTGTTTTTTTTAATCAGTCTCTCTCTCTCTCTCTCTGTGTGTGTGTGTGTGTGTGTGTGTGTGTGTCCCTCCCACCTCCCTCTCTCCCTTTATACTTCTCCCTCCTCCCCTCCACCACCACCACACACACACAAGCAAAAATTTAGTGTCTTTTTAAATTGGATTTATTATTTTATTGTCAGGGTAGATTAATTAACATTGAGATTAGCTCTAGTTCAAGTACATCAGAGACACAGATTTCCTCAATTAGCCGGGTCAGGGAGGAAGATAGGAACCAAGCCTTCAGAAGAGTTTCGTGGATGCCTGCCTCCCTGTCTCTTGGTTTCTTTCCTTCTACTCAGCCTGGGCCTGGGAATTTGCAATAAACTGCAGCTGCCTAATTACGAAGCCCTACTGGGGGAGATGGTCTACCTTGACCACATTACTAGGCCCCTGTGTAATGGAAAATTGACTGGTGCTCTTCTGAGCAGTGACTTTTGGTTATGGTCTGTACCCCACCTTTCCTCTGCCCCTCGCATTTCCCCACTGAATGACAGATTCCCAGGCACTTTGTACAGCTACTCATGCACACGGATTTGCTTCCATGTTTCCCACCCCCTGATGGAGCTTCACCACTCTAAAACCTTACATGTACGTGTGTATGTCTGTGTAGACATCGGTATCTTTATCCATACACTTTTAATCATGGCTGAGATATCATTTTCCAGTGCATCTGGTGCTCTGGAGTCCTTCTTTAATATCGCTATTCTCCTTGGCACTGATCTAATAAGAGTTCTGAAACCTGCTAAGTACAATCATATGTGGAAATCTTCAGTACACATCTTTGTGGCTTTGGGGAAAGAGGGGAATTAGTGTGAAACCTGGAAATGTGTATTAAAGAGAAACCCTACATTTAAAAAATTAAGTAGCTGTCTTCAACTGATAAATTAATCTTGAAATTCTAACCATAATGTTCAAAATAAAGGCCCTGTAAGTGTTGCCACTTTGAAGAAAAGCAGACGTGGCTGCACGGAACCCTGCGTGGGAGCCGCACGCAGAGGCCAGGAGGAGCAGCCGTGCTGGATGCCCCTCACCCAGTGGCCTTCCCTCCTGGCCACTTTTAAAGGTTTTCTTTTTATCAAATTTGAAAGCCTGTTTAACAGGCTTTTTAGTTGAAAATGAAACTATAAAAACCCACCAAGACGATCTCTGTCTTTAAACAAAGTGAGTCCCAGATGGTTGCAGAGATGCTGTGGTTTCTGTGAGAGACAGTGAAATTCTCCCCAACCTCCTGGGGCCCAAAGGTTCTGAAGCAAGAGAGCCGTGGTGCATGGCCAGGCTGGCTCATCCAGAACGCGAACTGACTTCCGTACGGCCTCAGAGCTCTCGAATGTTTGCTTAAAGTTGGGTGATGCTGTGGCATCAAAATAGTCATCGTGAATGTGTGTTAACCCCTCGCATACACTAAAGAAAAACTTGCCTCCTAATTTAGGACCCATAGTTCAGTTGAGTGTTATGTTAGCTATTGTGAAAACACTGTTTTTGTTTTAAATATATATATAATGGCCAGAGTATCTAGGGGAAATATAACAGTTAAGCACAGCTTGGTTTTCACAGATGTATTCCTTCTAAAGAAAACAAAGGAATAAATCGTTGGAAAATAAATGTTTAAGAAAATGCTAAACCTCACTATTCAAATAATGCAAGTTGAAACAACAATAACAATTTTTCTTCTGTCAATACAACAGGTTTTGGGGGGTAACATTACAGTTCTTAAATAGTTATTCATGTTTGTGTAAGTAATAGTTCATTAAAAACAATGGTTACAAAATATTCTTAGTGACATAGCAAAAAATATCAATTAGGATGTTTTCAGCTTGAAGTTACAAAATCGGCTTTTTAATCTTCATAGCAAGTTATTGAGGCAGACACTATTATGGTTCCTGCTTTACATTTACCATCACACATGGCAAGAGGGCAGGAAGCAGGCTCCTTGTTGGTCAGCTAAGCGCCTCGATGCTCTGCTGCTCTGCCACCACCTGGGTTTTCCTCCTGCTTCGGGACGGCCGCAGAGGGATCTGCATTCCTCTCCTAACACCTTCCAGGCCAGGAGAGAGGACTTGTCCCCCTTTTTATCCAGGAGCAAGTCTCCCCCAGAGCCTCTTAGCAGTCTTTCCTTCCATATTATTAGCCAAGAGTCCCATGTTTATCCCTTAATCATTGCAAAAGGAACTACCAGGATTAGCTTATGCCAATTATGATACAGTACTCAGTACACCTTCCCTGAATGCTTTGTTGATATTTGAGACCTAAACCAAGTCAGGGTTTTTAATAGCAAGGGAGGAGGAGGGGCCAGCTATTTGGAACAAAACCAGTGGTGTCTGCCACATTTACATTATGATGGGCAGCCTTTATCCTCTTTTTATAGTTCTAAGTTTTATTGATCCGTAGGTATCAATGAGAGACTATCAAGGTGGTTATCAGCACAGACTCTGTGCCAGATGGGTAATATTGGCAAGTTATTCACCATCTGTGCCTCCGTGTTCTCCTTGTTAAGATGAGGAGTCATCGTAGCACCTATGTTATAAGGTTGCTGTGAGATGAAAAGAGTTAATTTGTGAAAGGCTGGTATTAGGGCTCTTCAAAGAAAGAACCAGAAGATGTGTGTGTGCGTGCGCGCACAGATATTGACACACATATATTATGTATGTACGAACAGAAGTAGAGGGAAAGATTTGTGATAAGTTGGCTCACATGATTATGGAGGTCAGGAAGTCCCAAGATTCAAGGTCTGCAAGTTAGAGACCCCGTGGCCGGCATGGAGTTCAAGTCCTAAACCAGCAGGAGGCCGGCCCAGGAAGAGCTGACGTTTCAATCCACGTCCAGTGGCCGAGAAAAACCAGTGTCCAGCTCCGGCAGTCGGCAGGAGGGGTTCCCTCCCACTCGGGCCCCTCTGTTCAGATCCACAGTGGATAGAACGAGGCCCACGCACATTTGGAGGGCAGTCTGCTTCACGCATCAGCCCTCTCAGATGTTAATCTCATCCAGACAGCCTCCCAGACACACCCAGACCAGACCACGCGTGACCGGATCTGTGTGCCCTGACACATAAAATGAACCATCGCATGCTTAGGCCTGTAACTCTGCAGTGTTTACACTAGTTATTATTTTATAACCTGAAATAATATTACGGAGAAGGAAATCCAGATGGGAAAGTCCTATTTCCCCCATTATGGTGAGTATTCCTATTATGGAAGGATTTGCTTTCTGAAAGTATTCACTTTATAAGAATAAATTTTGCATTGTCTTTTCCATTTCAATCTAGTTAAGAGATATTTCTTAATCCCTACTATGAACTATATTCTTAGCTGACTGAAAAGTTGGATAATCCATGGGGTTAATGAGTAATTCTGTGTGTTTTATAAAGATACATGCTTCTACACTATAGGAAAAACCTGAATAAAATAAAATACAACTAGGCATCTGAGTAACAAATTGTCTTATTGCGTAAGAACGGAATAAACCCTTGGAAATCAGCTTCAGGGAACAGATTGATCACAACCGTCCTCTCAGCTACCAGAGGGAAGTCTTGTTTTCGGTCCCCATCCTTTCTTTCTGCTGCATCATTTGTACCATTGACCACCTCCCCTTGCCCAGTCCCTTCCCGGGGCTCCCGCAGCACTGGTCTCGCCTGCTCCACCACCGCCCCTTCACCCCTTGTTCCCCGGCCCCGGTTTTGGCTTCTCACCGTGAGACGCTCTCCCTAAAGTGTTGGTCAGTTGCTGGGTTTGAGCCTCTACCTTCTCTTCCAAGTAAACTATTTTTCTGTGAACATTTGCAAGTCTTTTATCTCCAGCCCCACCTTCCCTCTCAAGCATATGGCCAGTATTTCTAGCTGGACCTGCACACCCCCCGCCCCATCCCTATGTGTCTCTCCTTTGAATACTGCAAACTCAATAGAGCAAACTCTCTCCTTTTAAGCCTCTTTCTTCTTGCACTCTATAAGGTAATAACTTTTTTCTTTTTCTTTTTTAATTGAGTTTAGGGGGGGATGGGGAGAGAGAGAGAGAGAGAGAGAGAGAGAGAGAGAGAGAGAGAGAATGAGAATATATGAATTTGTTGCTCCATTTATTTATGCATTCATTGGTTGCTTCTTGTATGTGCCCTCACTGGAGGTGGAACCCGCAATATTGGTGTAACTGGGTGACGCTCTGGCCAGCTGAGCTACCCAGCCAGAGACTTCATTTCCTTCCTTCCTTCCTTCCTTCCTTCCTTCCTTCCTTCCTTCCTTCCTTCCTTCCTTCCTTCTTTTTTTAAATCCTCACCCAAGGATATTTTGATAGAGTGGAAGGAGGGAGGGAAAGAGGGTAAGGAGCGAGAGAGAGAGAGACATTGGTGAGAGAGACATCTATCAGTTGCCTCCCGCATGCACCCCAACCTGCAACCCTTCAGAATTGATGAAGGCCTTATTTATTTATTGTCTTTTAGATTATCATCTGTGGAAGACAGATCATCTGTAGTTACTTGTCTCAAAGCATAGAACTGAAAGTCGTCCAGCATTACATGGGTCACGATGGACAAGCTGTGGTTCGAGAACATTTTGACTGCCTCACAGCCCAGCAGAAGTTGCCTTCCTACATCCTGGAAAACAGTGAGCTGACAGAGCTGTGTGTGAAGGCCAAAGGAGATGAAGACTGGTCAAGGGACGTGTGCCTGGAGTCCGCCGCCCCCGAGCACAGCGTTGTCATCCAGGTACGAGAAGTGGCACGATCTAAAGGAGAGCAGATTTACAATTAAAACTGTCAGGATGTCCTGTATTCATGCAGACCTCTGATTAAAAGATGACTTATTCCGGGAATATGAAGGACGTCTGTAATACTGTCGGCAATAAAAATAAAAGGCAGTGTATTCAAAAGAGGGGAGACCTGAAATAATGTGAGTGGCGTTGCGTGTTGCTTCTCAGACTTCCTTCCCATCCCAGGACAACACGTGTGTATCCGGTCCAGGCGTTCGTGTAGCCAAATGCTGCCCCTCCCAGAGGAAGGCAAGTTGTATCTTGAAAAAGCTCCTGGTGCACAGGCTTTGTGGGGGAGAAAGAGTGTCCTCCCCACTCAGGAATCTGTGATGACCTGTGACTTTTTTATCTCTCCCTCAATCTCCACCACCATCACTTTCATCCCCATAAAGGACAAATCCTCTCTTCCATTCTCCCACTCAGTCTTATATCAGTCTCTCCCCGTAGAAGTCCCCTCGTCTTGATGGAAAAAATTGCCCCCATTAACTCACTGCACATCTACTTTATGCCATAATGAAGTCTGTTTTTGCTTAGTTTTCTTTTTTATGGCTCTTTTCTATAACTTCAAACCTTTTAATCCTCCCCACCGGTATTATATCTGTGCCTTATTGTCATTAATCAGTAACCTGGGGTTTGATGGGACCCTTTTCTATGCCACCTGCAGGTGCCATCTTCAAACAGCTCCATTATTTACGTCTGGTGCACCGTTCTGACTTTGGAACCCAACTCTCAAGTGCAACAGCGACTGGTGAGTGCTTCCCCATCCTAAAATATGGTATATGACTCCGACCTCTTCTGTTCTGAAATAAATTAAGGTCAGAGTGACCCAAGGAAGAGATTTATTACGTTTGTTTCAGCATCAAACAGCTGGAATACTGCAACAAAGCAAATATGAAAGTTCTTCTGTCCTCTTATTTTTACAGATTGTGTTCAGCCCTCTCTTTATCATGAGGAGTCATCTTCCAGACCCCATTATCATACATTTGGAGAAAAGGAGTCTGGGATTGAGCGAAACACAAATTATTCCAGGAAAAGGGCAGGAGAAACCGCTGCAAAACATAGAACCTGACCTTGTGCATCATCTCACATTTCAAGCAAGGTACTGGGAAAATCCTTATATTTCCTAAGAGAAGTTCAGTAGAAAATTAACCTATTGAGAGGAAGAGGGAAGATTGAGGTTTTTGTGTGATATCTTAGGAGAGTGTTGTTTTAAAATTATCCTGCCGACTGTTCTCTTATTCTCTTCTATAGTTTTAAATAAAATTTAGCCTTTTTTATTAAGCTTAGAAATAAACAAGAGGGATCATCAGAAAATGTAATTGGCACATAATTTCTCTCACAGAAGAAGAGAGGAATGGAGACCTCACCCAAGCACGGTTGTGGTCGGGGGAGGGGGAGGAAGAGGAAGAAGCCAGGGCCAGGTCATGCAAACACGGTGTCACCAAAACCTAAAACACCGAAAGTTGACTCAACCTCACAAAAGAAGTACCGGACTATACTACCTTTGTACTTAATTCTTTTCCGTAAGTTGCAGACCACTGTGGAAACCTGATATTCTTGCTTTTTCTCCCCACGTCCCAGAGAAGAAGATGATCCTTCACATTGCGCTGTCCCCATCTCAACGTGCCTCGTTAAGCAGATAGCTTCGAAGGCGCACCCGGGAGGTCCCGTTCACCAGATCCTGGATGACTTCTACGGGCCAGAGAAGTCCCTTCACCCCCTGTGGCCCTATAGCAGGAAGGATACTGACAGGTAATGTCCTCCAGCAATCTTTTTCTACAAACATTTCTCAATATTAAGTAATAAAAGACCACTCACAACAACTTTAGATATTTAAATAAAGGGTGTGTTTGTAAAAAGAAGATACTTGCCTGTATGTGTCAGATTCCGCCCTCTTATCATCAGTAGATGTGTTTTGTAGATGACTTTACTCATAATCTGGCACATAATTGCATGAACATTTTCTCCTGGTGCACACCCAGCATTAGATAATGGTGGTGTGAAGAGGTGTCCTGCCGGACACTGTGTGTCTGGGGTCCTTAGCCATGTTTCCTGAACACTGAAGTAGCTGTATTTCACCGAGTCCCTTGATGTGGTCTTTGGAACAGGAACGAACAGCTCAGTCAGTGGGACAGCCCGATGCGCGTGAAGCTGTCAGTCTGGAAGCCACATGTTAGAACCTTGCTGATAGAGCTTCTCCCCTGGGCCCTGCTGATCAATCAGTCCCAGTGGGACCTCTGGCTGTTTGAAGGAGAGAAGATTGTTCTGCAGGTTCCTGCTGGCAAAATTATTATTCCTCCTAATTTTCAGGTACTATAACTTTTTTTAACTAATATGAATTCCTTTCTTTCAACAGCTAGCTTTTATTCTGAGGTTGCATTTATGTTCACAGCAGAATGAATCAGATGTGGGAAACTGTCCTCTGAGATGCACATGTAAGGGGTATGGAATGTTCTTTGATATTCAAACATCTCAGACGTCCTTTTTTGCCCATCAGCAGTATTCATGTTTGAGATATCATTAACTTTGATAACTTGTACTGTTACATTCTCATTTCCATTGTGTACGGGATGTTTGACAAGCATTAGAACCAGCCTGCTCAGATATATTAAGGCCATAGAGCCATATTCTGTGCTAACCAACCCCCCAGAGATCTGCAAGATGGTTAAGAATTGAGGATTTCTGAGCAACCATTTTTGTCAGGGCCCCCTTTTTAAATAAGTGGATTTGAATTCCATAATCATGATGCCCACCCAGTGTTGACAATAACATGGAATCATCACTGACGGGGGGGGAAACCTAACCACAAGACAGAACTTCACAGGAAGATTTATGTTCCCTCACAGGGAATTTTCTCAGTAAGGCTAGCTCATTTTAAAGGATACATAAATCTATAAGAAAATAGAGTACAAGGACACCTAAGTAACATGTTTTCCTGATAGGGAACAACTTGAGAGTTCTTTTGGGGGGACTTCAGTTCATAAACATCTTTATTCAATTGCATTTTTAAAAAATAATCAGATGATGTTACCTTATGGAATTGGAATGTTGACCTCCATGGACCTAAAGTTGCATGTTATTCTTTTGTCAAATGAAATGAAACTTTCAGTTTTTAAGCCTTTGGTATTTATAGGGTAGTTACAGCTTGGGTTTGGTTTTATTCCCCTCTTCCATAAATATGAATTCCACCATGAATCAAAGAAAACAGTGAGACCTAAAATAAAATGTGTGCTGCCATTACAAAAAGAAAGTAGAAAAAGAAAAGAAAGAGAAAACCATAAAGGAATTGTTTGCCTAAATAGAGCTATTATATAATATAAAAAAAATTCCTGTGAATTGAGATAAAAATATCAAAGTTAAGAATAATACTTTATAATTGAGGCATTATTTTTCCAGGAAGCTTTTCAAATTGGAATATACTGGGCAAATACAAACACTGTGCACAAGTCAGGAGCAGTTAAACTGGTTCATAACCTGACATCTCCGAAGTGGAAAGATGGAGGGAATGGCGAAGTTGTGTCACTGGACGAAGAAGGGTTTGTTGATGCTGAAATAAGACTTGGTGCTTTCCCAGGACATCAGAAGGTAGGACCAAAGTTGTGTGGGTCAGGGCAAGTAGCATGCCGTCCCCTCAGCCTGCTTAAAATGAGCCCACCCTTTTCTTTTTAATCCCCCTTTGGTATTACTTGTTCTAGACAATTTATAACAGTGAAACACGTGATTTCTTAGACCTCTCCGTTTTACAGGTTTTTCCCTGTGCCAGTGGTAAAAGCTGCGTCACATAATTTACCCGATAACTACTCCAGCTCAGGACACTCAGCAGTCACTTGATGTATACACTGATACCCACAGATTGTAGTTGGCCTCCTTCTGGTAGAGGAGGAAGTAGAGTTGCTAACATTCTGAGCAACACCTAAAAGGACAAAGGCTCCTGCCACACAGGTTCTGTCCTGAGCGCAGTGACGGCCTCCATTCAGGTTTCCCGTAGAACCAGTGCTCTAAGAGGGAGCTATATCCTTGCACGGGAGACTGGTACCCATGTCTTTAAAGATCTGAATACAAAAAACATACTTAAGCAGTTATTAATTAAATACAAATGTTCCAAAGTCCATGTAAACCAATGAAGCTGAATAATACAGTGACGAGTCATATTAAACTGCATGTATGAAAGTGCGCTATCCTGTTGTACCATGTCAGGGTCTCCTGCTGTACTTAATCATATCTTCGTTGTTTTAGCTGTCCCAAATCAGAAAAAGAAAGGAATACTTCATGGGAGGAGTATAATTCAGTGGCCTTTCTGTGGGCAAAGTTAGGTTTGACAGGCATCTTTGAAAAGTTTCTCAAGAAATGTTAGGGTCACTTGGTGACTTTTTAAAAATAAATTTCTCTGATACAAAGAAGTTGGTCTTTCTTCAATATTCAAGGCTGGTATCCATTTCCTCAAAGTTGTCTGGGCAACACATGTTTATGCTCTGCCGGCCAAAATACTGGAACATGGGTGTAAATGGCAAAGAGCTGTAAGCGTGAATCACCCAAAGTTGAATAGTTGTAAGTTGAGAACTACCATCAAAACCTGGAAAAAATGTTATGATATACAGTCAGACACCCAATATGTCCAGCACCTCACAACGTAGCCACAGCAAAGGCTGAATAAATGTTTGTGAATGAATGAATGAACTGTTGGAAAATTTATTTTATATATTTATATCTCATTATTCTTTAGCAGCGATTCTCAAACGTTTTATTCTCAGGACCCCTTAAAATTACTGAGGACCTCCCAAAATCTTTTGCTTATGTGGGTTATACCTATTGATATTTATCAAATTAGAAATCAAAACAAAAATATTAAAGCACGAGGATACACATACATTCCATTAGTCATGAAAGTGATGACATCATACATCCTATAACCTCCAGAAAACTCCGTTTGTGCGCTCAGGAGAGAACTAGAGTGGAAAGGACAGATAGCATATTAGTATTATTATAAAGACAGTTTTGACCTTTGGACCTCTCCAAGGATCTCAAAGACACCCCCTCGGACCATGGGGCCCAGACCACATTTTTAGAACTGCTGTCCTGATAGTGCCACTTGCTAGGTGGGTACCTTTAGGCAATGATGTCTTCTCTGAGCACCAGTTCCTATAACGTGGTAAGGTCGTGAGATGATACACGTCATGATTAAGAGCAGCACCATGCTGTTGTGAGGGTTCTGTGAGTTAATATGCATGAAGTACTTACAGGTCGCCACAGAAGGCACTACATGAGGGCCAATCATTATGATTTCATTAGCAGCAGCAGCAGCAGCATTAAAGTTCCCGAACTCCCCTTGGTCCGTGGTGGGCATTCAGCGAGACAGCTGTTCTCATGCACACGAAGAAGAGAGGAGGAATGTTTCATTGAATTTTTTATGTTGAAAAAGATGAGTGGCGTTTGTTTATGTAAAGGTGCTTTATAAATAAATATTTTGTGAGGGAATAACTTGAAAGCAAGTCTCTATCGGTTGCTACACGGTGGCAGCAAAACTAACTGGTTTGCTGAAGCACCCCGTTTGTAGAGTAACTAGGGGCCAGGGCACTTTTGAAACTGAGAGGGGACTCTTAAATACTCTGGAGCAGAAGGTAACTTGGTACTGTCCTGGGAAACCCAATGGTAAAATGACCTTGTAAAAATAGCCAGGAGATTTCTGTATGCCTTATAAGGTTCTCAAGTGTACTCTTCCCCCAATTTCTTGCAGTTGTGTCAGTTCTGCATTTCCTCCATGGTACAGCAGGGTATACAGATTATTCAGATTGAAGACAAGACTACAGTAATCAATAATACCCCATATCAGATATTTTATAAACCACAGTTATCTGTCTCCAAGCCCCATTCTGAAATAGAGGTAAGTGATTCTCAATGTGATTGGCTTGTCTTAAGTTTCAGTAAGTTACAATAAAGTAGGATCAACTTTTTTAAATCTAGAACAAATAAAAAGCTAATGCTGAATATAGGTAAAGAGAAATGCATTTGTTCTTGCTTTAATTAAAACTGTGTATGTCATGGTCAGTGCTTGCAAGGTAATTAACAAGCAGGCACATCCTGACACAGCGCGGAGTCACTGCCCACCCCGTCCGCTGGGAGGCTGCGGCACAGGCGTCCAGCACCGGCGGGAGGTCCTCCTGAGGCCTGGCTCCCAGGTCTCCGGCTGCGGCACCTGGAGAAGCTGTGGGCACAGGGCTGGGAGCACTGAGCTCCGGGTCCACCGGGAGAGTAAATGTGGAAATGTACCAACTCGTTTATGTCAACATCTCCATGGCAGAATAAGCGGAAAACAAATCCAAGGAGGATTTTTATGCAGTTCTTTATACAGTTAAAATGAAGTTATATTTAGAGAGAAGGAAGATATTTTAAAAGGACTTAAATACAGAGCATTCTAAATGGTAGCTGTTGTTTTATGCTATTGAAACTATCGTGTAGGAAAGTATTATCTTTCTTTACCTTTGTCTACATTTACCATTATCTCTTACTTTCAGCTCCTAAATACATTAGAACAATAAAATTCAGATGAAAGTCTTATTCTTCTATGTTTACCATGAATTGCAGTATTTACAAAAATGTCAGAATAGTACATTTTTATCTTGGTTCATTAAAGTGTTGTTAAAATAAATAGGTGACCAACCCAGCCGGTATGGCTCAGTGGTTGAGCATTGACCTATGAACCAGGAGGTCGAGGTTCGATTCCTAGTCAGGGTATATGCCCAGGTTGCGGGCTCGATCCCCAGTGGAACACGTGCAGGAGGCAGCTGATTGATGTTTCTCTCTTAAGAAATCAATAAAAACATATTAATAAATGAATAGGTGAGAAGAAGTACCCAGGTGGGAAATAGAGGTCAATACCATTTGCACTGTAGGGAAGGGATTTGACAATAAATTCTGCTTCTCCCCACCTGGGGGCTTCCTGAAGCATTAGGTCGGGGCCACCCCTGAGATTACATGGCTATGGTTTCTTAGACGCTTTGCTTGAAAAACCTTAACTTCTCTGTGTACTGTAGTAAGTGTGCTCTCTGCATCGTCTGTTCTTTGTTTCAGTATTTTCGCGTTCCCGACAGCACTACCTTCAGCATTTGTCCAGGTGGCGAGCAGCCTGCTGTGCACTGCAGCTCCCTTCCTTGCTGGGACTTAATGCCTGACCTCAGTCAGTCAGCGTTGGATGCATCTCTGCTTCAGAAACAGATCTCTCTGGCCTTCTCTCCGGCCACAGGTGCCGGCAGCTCCCAGTGCTGGAGCCTGCCGGCTGTGGTTCGGCAGGACTTTCCCAGGCAGAGTGTGGCCGTGCCCTTCGGCCGTCGCAGGGAAGACGGGTTCTGTACCAGGTAGTTTACACCATGTTCATGCCCTGGTTTGCTTGTCACTGCAGCTGTTGGTGGAGGTGTGGAAAGAGACAGGAGAATAATGGCCACGTTCACCGTGTGGAAAGCTAGGGTTCACTTTCATTGTTAACGGCTCCGAGACAGGGCATACAACTGGACAAATGTGAAGACCACGTGTGGGTGGCCCCAGGAGACTGCTGATGGCATTCTTCCCCAGGCGGCTCCTCCTGGGGCAGATGACGGTGTCTGTACCCTCGAATAACAGCAGCACCGCATCACAAGGAAAAGACCGCCCACTTTTATGACCTCTTAGCCCCTGTCAAATGATAGGAAATAAGGGTTAAAATATGAGAGTCGAGTTGGAAAACCTTTTTCTTTTCCCATATCTTACTTTAAAATGGAATTTTCTCAAAAAGTCATTAAGGGAGATAACTTAGATAAACACAAGTTACAGAAGACTCTGTTCTGTGGTCGTTCCTGCACACAAGTTACCAATTATGCAAATAACCACCGCGGACTTGAGCCAGGGACGGGCAGTGGTTTGTTCAGACTGGATTTTTATTTTGTGTTTGTGTTGCTTGCACTATGTCCTCTCTGTAGCTGCCGGGGGAAACTTAACGTAGGCCATACGTGAAAGTACAAAAGAAAACGTGACCGCAGGAGAGGGACCTTATTCCCGTGCGTACGGATTTACAGACTTTATCTGAGATGTTAGTCATCCGAACTTGGCGAGGCACTATTTCTAGTGGTAACACTTAGAAGATAACTTCCTAACTCACTTTACCCCACACGCGTGCATCCCTCCCTCCTTCTTTCACAACATCCAGCCTCATCCCTGCTTTATGCACACTTCCTCCCTCCCTCCGCAGAGGAGTGGCCGTCCTTCCGTTCTGATTGGAGACGTAAAGTGTGGTGAGTTTAAGGAAGTGTTTTTGAAAGTGATGTAAGCCTGTGTCTAGAAAACATGCTTATTTCTTAAACTTAAAGACAAAATTAAAGTTTCTACTTGAAACTTTAAAATTCTAAGAATTATAAGACATAATTTTATTAAAATAATTTAATCTTATTCTTAACTATTAAGCGAGATGTTAGATTTAAAGTCCCGTATGTTAGTGCGGGCCCCAGCTTTCGTGGCCATCCAAAAGAAAATTCTCTGAGGTTGGCTTGCTCAGCTCTTTCAAAATCAAGCTGGCGGAGAACTTGGGTGCGGACCCAAGGGCAGCACTCTGAAAGGAACTCACCTCCTGCTGCCCCATCCCCTCCCTCCTCTCCTCAGTCCAACAGTGCACATCTCGTGGTGGTGTTACTGGGATTTCCCCAAATGCCAGTGGACAGTTCACTTTCCCATTTCAGACAAATACAGTCTTCAGGAAGGACTCAGACACTGGTGAACAGGATAAATGGCAAATATCTGATTTATTTGATTAATTTAAATAATCCATGTAATTTAAACTTCAGAGAGAATTTTTCCTGCTTTGATAGGAACTGTTGTTTGGTAGTTTATTAAGTCTAAATTGGAAAAATTTTGTCGCTCTGTTGTAGAAGGCAGCCTGACCCCCACAGCAGTCTGGTGCCGAATAATCCAGCTTTGTTGTTGGTAGTCAAAATGGAGATCCTGCAAAGTATGATGCTTGTGAAGACAAATGGCCATTATGAGCCTACCCACCTCTAAGGGGGGAAAACAAAGAGCAAGTACCCGAATTCTCTCGGAGTCCTGCTAAAAGCACTCCAGCTCCCCCTCTGCCCAAATTTACCAGGCGCTTGGAGGAGGAAGCACCTGTCTGAAAAGTTAAGGCTCATGCGCACTGAAGAGAAAGTGGCCAGAGGAAGGTTAGCAGGAGGTAACCTGCCATTCTCTGAGTGTAGAAGTTAGGGTTATTCTTTTAACCAGGTTTTCACATTTTAAACAGTAGTTTACAATAAACTGTTTTCAGGAAAAAATCAGTAAACTATAATTAATATATGGCAGTTAATATGTAAGAAGATGCCCTTCTTTCTCTAGAAAACATTTCCTCTGATTTATAAAAGAGAAGGATTGTAGAGTTCTGAATATTGCAAGCCGAAGTAAACATGGATCAGGAGAAAAAGATAAATTTATTTCTAAACCATTTCTGTCATCTGATTTGATTCTGTTCTAGGGCTATTGCACTGACATATCAAGAACACTTTGGAGTGACTTATTTAACCTTCTCAGAAGACCCTAGCCCTCGAATAATTTTCCACAACAGATGTCCAGTAACAATAGTGATAAAGGAAAACATTAAAGGTATATTTTATAGCATTGAATTTAAATGATACAGAACTTGTATTTTTTTCCGGAGGATTTTGACTTAGTATTTGTGATCCTTTGAAGAATGTTTAAATACAAATATTATTCCTCCCCTATAAAGTTTTTCTTGCCACTCTCTGTTTAATATCCGTGAGTTTGTTTTAAAGGCCTAAGCCTCCATATGCCTTTTTTTAAATCTTTTTTATATTTTCTTTAAATTGAATAAGACATTTTCTTTATTGATATTTGTGAAGGCCTTCCTCTAGATCAGGGGTCGCCTAAGACCATCGGAAAACACATATGTAATTACATATTGTTTTTGTGATTAATCACTATGCTTTAATTATGTTCAATTTGTAACAATGAAATTGGGGGTCACCACAACATGAGGAACTGTATTAAAGGGTTGCAGCATTAGGAAGGTTGAGAACCACTGCTCTAGAGAGTAACAGAGTGTAAAACATTTAATTTCCATTTGGTCAATAAAAATTTTATTTACAAATACTATCTCAGCAACATGGCTATCTAACCAAGAACTGTATGTATATTGACCAAATATGAGTGGTCATTAGTGTTATCTAAGCTTATAGCTCTGAAAACAAATATCAGTAATATTATTAATGAAATAAATTTTAAATATGCAATTTTTTTTTTTAGATATTCCAAAGTTTGAGGTTTATTGCAGAAAAGTCCCTTCTGAATGCTCAGTCCATCATGAGCTTTATCATCAGATTTCCAGTTACCCAGACTGTAAGACCAGAGACCTCCTCCCCAGCCTCCTGTTGAGGGTGGAACTCCAGGATGAAATGACGACCGAATGGAGCGATGCCATCGACATCAACAGCCAGGGAACGCAGGTCAGTGAGCCGTGCTGTCCTGCTACTGCCCGAAGGAGAATTCCCTTTTCTGAGATTTCGGTGGTTTTCTGTTTTTAAGCATAGTCTTCTAAATGCTGAACTTCCTGTTTCTGCTTTAGGGCGTGTATGTATCCTCATGTTATAAATTCTCAAATATAAGTGCAGCATATGTATCTCTAAAGCATTTTATACAGCTGTTTACCAGAGAGGGGCACTTGGAAAAGAAGCCTACCTTAGGTCTAGTACAAGGTCAAAAACGAAATGAAATTGTTGGACTTCTCTCATAGAAGGTAGTCCAACTGGCCAGATGTTAAGACAATCATAATGACAACCCTAGATCAGTTCCCTCTTTTGAAGGTTTACTAATTTTATTTATTTACTTATTTACTTAGTCTTCACCTGAGGATATGTGATTTTTAGAGAGAAACATCAATTGGTTGCCTCCCATGTGCACCCCAACCAGGGATTGAACCCACAACCCTAGGTATGTGCCCCAAGCCCACAGCCTTCTTGGTGTAGGATGACGCTCCAACCAACCGAGCCACCCGGCCAGGGCAAAAGTTTACTAATTTTAAAATATATATTTTTGCCTAGTAGTCTATAAAACTTTGCAAATATAAGTAGAGTTTTAAAATTCTGAACAGATAAAAGGTCCTGGCTTTGTCCCTGTCTTACTCTGGATATTAGTTGGTGTTATTTTTATTGAAAATGGCACATGAGTCAAGCATTTTGTTTCTGCTGTGCTTAAAATTTGTAATAGATAATTTAGTGGCATTCACCGTGTCGTACAGCCATCAGCACTATTTCAGAATCCCAAACCCAAGCTTTGTCCACTAAGCAATAACCCCCGATGTCCCCCTTTTCTCAGCCCCTGGTGCCTCTATTGTACTTTCTCTGTCTGACTTTGCCTATTCTAGGCACCTCACAAGAGTGGAATCAAACAATATTTGTCCTTTGTGTCTGGCTTATTTCACTGGGCATAATATTTTCAAGGTTTGTCCATGTTATAACAGGTGTCAGAACTTTATTCCACTTTATGGCCAAATAATATTGTGCTGAACTTTTTTAATGTTCTTTCTCATCTATTAGTTTATTTGATCTTCACAATAAGTTTTGAAGTAGGTCCCATTATAATGATAACAAAACACATTAAAATTATGAATATATGTACAGTAATAATGATTACCATTTAATAATCACCAACTGTATGACAGGCATTGGGCTAAGCACTTTACATCTTTTAATTGAATTTATTGAGGTGACATTGGTTCATAAAATTATTCAGATTTCAGGTGTATAATTCCATAATATATCACTTGTATATTGTATTGTGTGTTCACCAACCCAAATTGAGTTTCCTTTCTTCACCATTTATCTTCCTTTCCCCTTTTCTACCTCCCTCCACCCTGTCTCCCTCTGGTAATCACACACTGTTGTCTGTGTCTATGAATTTGTTTTTATTTTGTGTTTTGCTCAATCACTTCACATTTTTCACCCAGTCCCCAACTCCTCTCCCCTCTGACAGCTGCCGTCTATTCTCTATCTATGACACTGTTTCCATTTTATTTATCAGTTGATTTTGTCTATTAGATTCTACATGTAAGTGAAAGTATATGGTACTTTATTTTCTCTGATGGCTTATTTCACTTAGCATAATACTCTCCAGGTCCCTCCATGCTATCACAAGAGGTAAGATTTCCTTCTTTTTTACAGAACATTTGATATTTGCCTTTTTCATTCTCAGCCTACAACATAGTACCAGTCAGCACAATAAGATGTTAATAAATATCAAATGAATGAATGAATGAGGAGATGAGGTTACCAAGGGAGAAGAGAAAGAGGGTTCCAGGCCTACCCTTGGGAAACTTCATTATATAAGTACAATGCAGCAAGAGGCTGAGGAGGAAGCAGAGAGGGAGGAGGACAGCCCGGCAGGTGGAAGCACGAAGCCCCTGAGCGCGGAAGTGCACAGGGCGTGAGATGCGGAAAGAGGAAAGCAGCGTAGCGAAGTACAAGTGCGGAGTGAATGGAAGCGAGGGACGGGAGGAAAAGGGGAAAGGTGTTCTTCCCAGGAGCGAGGCCATGAAGCAGACGAGATCAGAGGGGAGGAAGCTCGCTGCATGCTGCAGGGGAGCAGTCAGTAAAGAAGTGGAAAATGTGAGCAAGGAGTTGCCCAGATAGACATGTCCAAACCCAGAGCCTGTAATTCAACTTTAACAGAAGGACCATGTCCTCTTATCTGACCATGGAAAGGGGTGCGGAAGGGACACAGGTGTAGGTGGAGGTATTTGGAGGGATGGCGCCAGAACATTGAGTGAATTGGTACTCGGTGGCCTTAAGTTTATTGTGAAGTGTGGAATGAGTCATCTGTGAGAGAGAGAGAAAGGGGCAGGGGGAGGGGGAGCTTGGGAGAGCAGTCGCTGTGCAAAGAGCTGAAGGACCTGGCCGGGGGCAGGTGCAGGAGGCCAAGCAGCCTGGAGACCACACTCACTTTGGAGACCTGTATTCACAGAGGCTCCGAAATACCCAGGGTGTGCTTTCCACCCACAGGCTGTTTGATGAACAGCGAGAGTCTGTGCAGCCTCAGGAGACGCTCCTGGTCACATTAATTTACAAAGTAAATACTGCGAGCTACTCTGTGTCCGTTAGAAGAGTTTCAAAACCTGGCTTATATATGGTCTTGGGACGTCTTTACAGTCGGGCATTCTGCCCGCCAACCTTATTTCGGGGATTCCCATCCACTCTAAATTTCCTCCAACCTTTGTAGTCAGGGATACTTCAAAGCTAAGAGGGGAGGTACTCTTTCCAACACCCTTATCATCCCTGGTCTGAGGACCCAGCAGAGTGTCATGTTCCCATTAATCTTCGAGGAACTGTGTGCCATATGTCCTGCAGACCAGAGCGTACTTCCTCTTCGGCAGGAAGATTTGTTCCAGCCCCTCGCGGCCGAGGCCTCAATAGTGCACCAGGCGTATAAATCACTGGGGAGGGAGGGAGTGTGTCCTCTGATGAAAGGAAGCAGCTCTTCTGTAGGAGTGAGCTTGTCTCAGAGGCTTTCCTCAGCCCTCTCCGAGGCACATGATGCAAATTTCAAAAAGCAGAATTAAAACTCCAGAAAATCCCCATTAAGCTGCAAGGAAGAGAAGTCCTGTAGCTTTTGTCAGTCATCGATGTGCCCTCTTGTCTCGGCTTTGTGAATAGGACAGTGTCATGTTGTATAATTTTGTAATGGGCTATGGAAGGGAATATGCAGAAGATAACTTTTTAATGACACAAAGAAGTACTATGTTTTATTTTTATAAATCTATCTTTATTGTTGAAAGTATTACAGATGTCCTCTATTTTTTCTCCATTGACCCCCTCCACCCTGCCCTCCCCCAGGCCTTTACCACAGTATTATCTGTGTCCGTGGGCTATTCATATATGTATACTAGAGGCCCGGTGCATGAAATTCGATGGAGATCGGGCCTAAACCGGCAGTCGGGCATCCCTCTCACAATCCTGGACTGCTGGCTCCTAATTGCTCACCTGCCTGCCTGCTGGTCACCGCTAACTGTGCCCCTGCCGCCGGCCTGATCACCCCTCACTGCCTCTGCATGCCGGCCTGATTGCCCCTAATTGCCCCCACCTGCCGGCCTGGTTGCTCCTAACTGCCCCCCCTGCCAGCCTGGTCGCCCCCAACTGCCCCCTCTGCCAGCCTGGTCACCCCTCACGGCCCCCCACCGGCCTGGTCGCCCCACGCAGCCTGCTTGTTCAGTTGTTTGGTCGTCCTTCACTAACCCCCCTGCCAGCCTGTGTCATAGGCAGCCATCTTGTGAGGGTTAATTTGCATATTACCTCTTTATGTATATAGAACTAGAGGCCTGTTGCACGAAAAGATTTGTGCAATAGGCCTTCCCTTCCCCTGGCTGCCGGCACCGGTTTTCCTCCGGCACCCGGGACCCAGGCCTTCGCTCCGGCCGGAGCCGCCTTCAAGCCTGTGCTGCTCCAGCCAGAGCCACCTTCAGTCTTCGCTCCGCCGCTTTGCGCCTATGTATGCAAATTTACCGCCATCTTTGTTGGAGGTTAATTTGCATATCTCAGTGATTAACCAATGGGAGGTGTAGGGAAGGTACAGTCAATTACCATGTTTGTCTATTATTAGATAGGATAAGTTTCCAAGTTAATCTCTCCCCACTCCCCCCCCCCCCCCCCCCCGGGGGGAAAAAAAAAAAAAACCCCGGGCTTTCTTTTTGGAGGATTTTAAAAAAGTTTCTTTCCAGGGGTTTCCATACTCTTCGGGGAA